ACTCTACTCTTCAGATCCCTCCTACATTCTGGAGTTGTTTGAGCATGAGTCAGAGATGATCTAGAATCAGACAGGTTTAGCAGCCTGCTCAGTTCCTGGCAAACCAGGACTTGTAACTGATTCTCCTATTTGCTAACTTTCTAAATGTATGCTTAGTTAATAGCTATTGTTTTTATTAAAGAAGTAATATATACTGCACAAGGGCAGAATTCCAAAAGTTCGAACAATACATTTTCTGGTCTGGGGAAGACAACACAAGTGGAAGAGCAGAGAACTCACATGTGCAAACCCTGAGTTTGTTCCCCAGTACTGCTGGCTGTGGTACTGGTGGCCAGGTGATCATCACTAAAGGGGGTCTGTCAAGAAAACAAACACAAGTATGTTTCCTTTACTCTAGGCGCTTCTCCTCAATTTTCATCTAATTGACATTACACTCAACTGTTTCTTTTCTATTCTTTTAGCATTTTTTTAAATCTCCATAATATTTTGTGTGTATCTAAACATATAATGCAAATTTCCTTTAAAATGAATGAAAACATACTCTATAACTGTTCATGTATTGTTTTTCCTAATTAATACAATTTGGAGTCAGTTCCACAATGAAGTATAATCTTCTCACTTTCTCTTTGATGACTGCACAATAATAGTCTATAATATAGTTACAGCATATTATTATTACTGCTGCTGTTTTTTTTCTTTTTGGGTCACACCCGGCATTGCACAAGGGTTACTCCTGGCTCATGCACTTAGGAATTAATCCTGGTGGTGCTTGGGGGACCATATGGGATGCTGGGAATCGAACTTGGGTCAGCCGCGTGCAAGGCAAACGCCCTACCCGTTGTGCTATCGCTCCAGCCCCTGTTTTTGTTTTTGATGTTGGGGCCACACTCAGAGGTATTCAGGGACTATCCTGACTTTGTGTTTTGGGGAGGTCACTCCTGGGGGTGCTCATCATTTGGTGCTGGGGGATGAAAGCTGGGCCTTCTACATGCAAAGCATACACTCAGCCACTTGAGCTATGTCTCTGACTTTGCAATATACTATTATTTAACCTTGGAATAGAACCCAAAGTACCCCACTACTAATATATAATAAATAATGCCAATTCTGCTTAAATGCTTTCCCTAGTGGTGCATTTAAAAAAAATCCTTACTCCCACTTAGCCTTAAACTTTACTTTTTTCACCTATCTTAAAATTTACTATCACTGCTCATTTTGCTAACTTGCTCGTCATTAAATTTCTATTGCCAAACATTTGTCTGTTAGTGTCACCTGCCTTCTTAAATACCTCGAACGGATTCCTTATCCACTGTGTTATGTGAAAACTCAAGCAAGTTTTGTTTCCTTTTGGGGAACACCTGGCATACACAGGGCTTACTCTGAGATCTCTGACTCTGAGCTCAAGGATCGTTCCCTGATTCCCCATATGGTTTGGGGGACCATATGCCATGCTTGGGATCGAACCCTGGTAAACAACATGCAAGGCAAGCACCCTATCCTCTGTACTATGACTACAGCCCTGATTTTAAATTCTGATCTGTGGAGTTATGATATGCCAATGCCTGGGTCAAGTAACCTTTAATCTGTATTTGAAAAAGCCCATACGTACTTTTTTTTTTTGAAGGCCGAGAACTGTTTTGGTTTTTATTTACTTTTTGGATTTTGAGCTACACCCAGCTGGACTGGGTGGGATAGGGGGGTTGCTCCAGCTCTGCAGTTGCTATCAATCCCAGGCCCTTTAACTTATCTCTCTGGTTAATTTTGAACATCTTCTCAATTCTTTTTTTTTTTTTTTATGTAGGAGTACTGCTATTTATTCAGCCACTGATTAGACTGATTGAATTGTGTATGAACTCCACCTTACTTTTTTTTCCCATTTTTTATAATCTTATTTATTGAATCACCGTGAGAGCAGTTACAAAGCTTTCAGGTTTAAGTCTTGGTCATACAATGAAACACCCGTATCTTCACCAGTGCCCATTCTCCACCACCAAAAACCCCAGGATACCCCCAGCCCACTCCCTCCCCCTACCTGTGAGCAGATGATTTCCAAATTACTCTCTCTCTCTACTTTGATTACATTCAATATTTTGACACCAGACCCATCATTATTATTTGGGATTTTACCCCAACACTCAGATCTGCTGAAAAGGCAACAATAGACAATTTGTTTTCTATTGCTGGTTATGAATAACATATGATGTTGCACAGCTGCAGTAGTGGCCATACAATTTTGAAATTCCGAAATTTTAACAACTAAATCTGGAGAGATTTCTTGCCAAAAACCTGCTGGGTTCCGAGATTTGTTCCTGAGTCTCTGAGATCATGGCTGTTAAGCAGCTTGATCAGGAGCCAGAGAGGCCGTTTGTGGGCAGTGACTCTGGGTCTTGTTGGGGTGGGGAGGAAAGGGCCGGCTCCATCCCCATCCTGTGAGGCCCCACGTGTCTCATCACTGCGGGCCCAAACCTGATCATTCAGTGGCCTCTGGAGGATGACGGCCACTGGGCTGCCAGGGGGAACAGGCCAAGGAATGAAACCTATTCCCACCTGGGGTTGCCCGGTGCTGGTAACCTACTGCAGGGACTGGACACATTTCTGCCAAAAGTCGTTGAGTTTTGAGATTTGTTTCTGAGTCTCTGGGATCATGGCAGTTAAGCAGTTTGATCAGGAACCAGAAAGGCCTTGCTGAGCTGGAGGTGGTTTGTGGGTGTGTCTCCCACATACCTAACTTTTGGCCATTTATTTTCTTGGTAAACTTTGCCCCAGGTTTTGGGGGTTTGGCCAAAGGCACAGCAGCAATTTTGGGGTATCTGGAAGTTTGAAGGTGCCATTAGGCGGCTGATGCCCTCGCCTCACAAGTACAGATTGACCTGCTGGCGGCCATAACCCCCCCTTTTTTTTATAATATAGGAGTATTGCTACTTATTAAGCTGATTAAGTAATTGAATTGAATTGGGCATGAATTCCACATTACTTTTTAAAAATTCTATTCTGAATGTTAATTTTATTATTTTATTATTATTTTTCTCCTCTTTTTTTTTGATTTACCTTGAGATACATTTACAAAGCTCTCATGTTTGAGCTTTGATCATACAATCATCAAACACCCATCCCTTCACCAGTGCACATTTTCCACCACCAAAATCCTCAGTATTCCCACCCCCCCAAATCCTGTTCCAATCCTTCCCCTGCCTGTGTGGCAGACAATTTCACCCATACTCTCTCTGTACTTTGGTTATATTTGATATTTCGACACCAGTTTCACCACCACTCAAACCTGCCGAAAAGGCAATGCTAGATGATTTGTTTTGTATTGCTTGTTATGGATAGAATATAATGTCCAGGAAATTCTGTGTCATTCCCTTCTGGGAGCTTTAGTTTATAGTCTCTGGGTCTTGACTGTTGATGAGTTTACATGGTGCCAGGGGGCAGTTTGTGGGTATGACTGCCAAACTTCTGGAAAACTGGGGACCTGGGCGGAGGAGGCCCAGTCCCTATCCAAGTAGACTTGGAGATCTCAGTCACAGGTTCCCGCACGCCTGGTTTTTCCTGCTGGTCTGCTCTCTGGTGAAGTTCATCCCGTCTTGGGTGAGGCTTGTCCCCTCTTGGGTGAGGCTCGTCTGAGCCTGTGGAGGGTGGCCTTGAGCATGGCGGCCGTTGGGTTCTGGAGGTTTTTGGCTGCCGGGGTTCTGCTTGGGGCAGGGAGGGAAACTCAACTCACTCCCCTCCGAAGTGCCCCAGTGAAGACAGCCTGGCTCAGTGTCACGATATTCAGCGGCACTCTCTTCTGGGAGTTTTAGTTTATAGTATCTGGGTCTTGACCGTTGATGAGATTACATGGTACCAGGGGCAGTTTGTGGGTGTGACTGCCAAGCTACTAGAAAACTGAGGACCTGGGGGGGGGTGGAGGACGCCCAGTCCTGATCTAAGCAGGCCTGGAACTCTCAGTCACCGCGTCCCATCTACCCCCACGCTACAGGCCCTAACTGAATCTTTTGATCTCTTTTGAGATTTATGTGTCTCTGAATTAAGGCCAATAAATGAACTTGTATAGCTGAGCTGGAGGTGGTTTGTGGGTGTGTCTCCCACATACCTAAATTTTGGCTTTTTAATTTCTTGATAAACTTGACCCCAAGCTGTTGGAGTCTGGTCAAAGGCACAGCGGCAATTTTGGAGTATCTGAAAGTCTGAAGGCACCATCAGGCTGCTGATGCACTCGCCCCACAGGTACAGGTTGACCTGCTGGCGGCACCATAATCCTGTTACATGTACTTTTGAATTACTCGGTTGTTAGGCTAGTTTCTTTATTCAGCATCCCCCATCTCTTACTGCTATTTCTCTGCCTACAGGTGCAAAGTTCCCGCTGGCTTCCTAGGCGCTCCTCACACCTTTAGTAACACCTTTTAAAAACGTCCAGAACCAGTCTTTCTAAGAATCCTTCACAGCCAGGAGCGATTCCCGGTCTTTCTTCTCTGATCCCACACACTCACGTTTGGTCTTACCTCTTAGTTTTGGGATTGTCTAGTTTTTCCCTCACTTGCTAATGCGTGTAAGACCCCTACAAAATAAAGTTTGCACGTTTCTGCAAGGATCTAATGAGTGAATTTGCACATAACATCTTTTTTGGCGGGGGGAGGTTCCAAGCGGGTCATCCTCTTGCTTGAACAGCACTGCATATGCTGTGGGCATAGACAGAGGGCCTTTCAAGACTCGTCTTAGCTTGTTCAATCGCTCTAGGAGCGGGAAGCCTAGGCGGGGCGGGTACGGGGTAGAGGGGTGTGTGTGTGTGTGTGTGTGTGTGTGTGTGTGTGTGTGTGTGTGTGTGTGTGTGTGTGTGTGTGTGTGTGTGTGTGTGTGTGTGTGTGTGTGTGTGTGTGTGTGTGTGTGTGTGTGTGTGTGTGTGTGTTTCCCCTCCATCAGGGAACTACAACTCCCAGCGGGCATTGCGGGGCACGGCGCCTGACGCGTGACGCAAGGGGGCGTGTCCAGGGCGAGGGCGGGGTCGCCGTGCGGGTAGCTGGAGGCTTGGGGTGGCTGTGGGATCCTGGGCTGGAGCGAGGGCTCGGGAGGTGCGCCGCGCCGGAGGAGGGGACGCCCTGCCCGACGCCCCCCAGCCTATGGATCGGGGTAAGATGGCGGAGGCAGAGAGCCTGGAGACAGCTGCGGAGCACGAGCGGATCCTGCGAGAGATCGAGAGCACCGACACGGCCTGCATTGGGCCCACGCTCAGGTATCCCGGGGGCCCGGGGCGGGACGGCGGGGGCCAGCCGCCCTCCGGGCCAGCGCCTACCCCGGCCCCGGATCGGCGAGGCAGGGCTTTGCTCTGCTGCCCTGACCTGGGTGGGTGGGTGTGTGGGTGGGTGGGTGGGGGGTCCCCTCGCGCTCGCCGGCTCCCGCAGCTCAGTTACTCCCCGGGGCGCCTCCTGCCTTCTTCCCTCGGGGCCGAAGCAGCCTCCGTCTCTCTCCCAGGCTCGCTCCGCGCCGTGCAACTGGAGCGCGACTGACAGATGGTGGCTGGGAGCACATCTCTCCCCTCCCCTGACTCCCCCACCCCCATTCCCCCACCGCCGACCCCCCTCCGTCGCCCCTCAAAACGCACCCCCCAGCACACCAGCCTGCTCCCGCAGACCCCAATGCAAACTAAGCCCCGCGCATCGGACAGAGCGGCGTGTCGCCGCGTGGTGCGATGCTTTGCAAACTTTCAGCGCTTGCCTCCCTGATACCACAGTCACTTCTCAGAAACAAGTTCCTGAAAAATCCTAGGCCTGCAAGGAAGTTTCTCTCCATCTGCGCTTCTCTTCTCTCCGGCGGAGGGGCTGGGGGGGGGGGGGTACCCTTGCACCCGAGTAAGGAGAACCCAGCCCTCAGAGGGTTTTCATCTTTGAGTCGTTTTCATCTTTGTCCAAAGTCGGTTCATCTTTGAGGAAAAGAGTTATTCCAAGCCCACCCGGCCTTTGCTTTGGTCAGGCACCAGCGTTTTTATTGGGCGGCGTCAAAACAAACTTCAGTGTATTTAACAAGACTTAGGTACCACTTACTCTGCACAGTTGCAAGACATTGAGTTAAGCAATTCACAAATGTGATTTATTTGAGTCTCTAGGCAATCCTACTAAGAAAGTGCTATTACTCGCCTTTTATAGATGGGGCACGGATAGGTGAAGAGATTTGCCCAAGATCACAGAAAGAATAAGTGTGTGTATGGGGATGAGGGTGGGAGAGGTAGGTGGGTGAGTCAATTCCTATTCATTCTTCTGAGTCTACATTCCTTGGGGGAGGTGGGGTGGGTCACGCCCGGCAGTGCTCAGAGATTACTCCTGGCCCCTTGCTCAGGGATATTACTGGCTGTGCGGGAGGAGTGGGAGATGGACAATCCTGTGTAGTTTCTGGACTGTGTGGAAGGCAAGAGACTTACAGCCCCAGTACTAGCTCTCTCTCCCGCCTCAGAGTCTGTATTCTTTTCTTTTTCTTTCTATTTGGCTTTTTGCGTCAAATGTGGCAATGCTCAGGGGTTACTCCTGGCTCTGCACTCAGGAATTACTCCTGGCGTTGCTCCATCCCACCGATGGGATGCGGGAGATCAAATCCTGGTGGTTCGCATGCTAGGCAATGCTCTGCCTGCTGTACTATCACTCCAGCTTTGAGTCTGTTTTCTTATCGTACATTGTTCTGCCTCAGATTGGCTTCCTCTCTACCAGTACTTATTTATCCAGGCAAATTTTTGAGCTACCTGTTCCTTTCCCTTCAGTTTGCTAGTGCCCTGTGCATAGAGCTTGCACTGTACATAAAACTAACGTCTTCCTCCTTCCTGTGGTTAATTCTGATCTCCACGCAGCTGATCCATAGATAATTATCTGACCCACCTTGTGCAGTCTTGGGCCAATAGCCTCTCCCTTCAGAACATTATTACTCATTGCCTATTTATTCACGGGGAGAGTTGCCCCATGAAAAGAGGGTGGGAAGGAGTGCCAGTCAAGAGACTTGGTTCCTCCTTGCCACCTGCACAGCTTCCTTCTCCAGCGTAAGCAGTTAGTGAGTCCTCCCAGTGCCATCCTAGGACATGACTGTTAGGTATAGTTACCAAAACTTTGGCCATGGGTTCCTGGTGTGTTATGATCAAGACCATCATATTTTTCTTTTCCTGATTTCATGAGCTCTTAAGCGTGAATGATCCTCATTCCACTATCTTTTATGAAAAAGTAAGGACTACTTATGAATATTCTAAGTGCATGAATGCTAGTTGCTAATATTTGGCCTTTGGAAAACAAAATGCTTCTAAAGTCACCGAGGATGCATTTTCAATATTCAACTAAGAAATTGGCTGCCAAACTGCATTTGGCGGCCAACCCTAGCTTCCGCTGGAGCTGTTGGGATTACCAGCGTGTTTAGGAAGGATTCTTTAACAGAGCACTTTGGTGTTGTCATTCAGTTGCATGTGATGTTCAGTTGCTGTCATTCTTGGTATATATGAGAAATGACTTTAGTTTTAGGAAATTAGTTTGTTGTGATTTATTTTGTCACTATTTATTATGTCACTCTTACACTGAATAGTGTAATGTGATTTTGAATTAGCTAAGTTTTGACCTGTAATTTTTCTGGTTCTCAATAAGAATACAGTCTCCCTCCTACCTCCCCTAATTCCTCAGGGTTTAGGTTCAGAGATCCTCCAGAAGATGCCTGAAACTTGGGATAATACTGAACCTTGTGCGCGCGCGCGCGTGCACACACACACACACACACACACGTTTTTTCTTATATATATATATATATACACATCTTTTTGATAAAGTTTCATTTATAAATTAGCTACAGCAGAGACTAGTAACAGTAAATAATGCTAAAATAGATTATAATAATATGCTTCGGTAAAAGTTCCGTGATTTGTTCTCTCAGAAAAGCTGCTTAAAATTATTTTTTTAATTGAGGTATAATGCTATTGAAGTTCTCAGGATAACAGTGTATGTAATATTTTTGGACCTCAGTTCCCTGTCGGTAACTGGACCTGTTGAAGTAAAACCAAGAATAAGGAGTGGCACTATTCATAAATAGTGGTTAAAATATAGGTTGTCTATTCTCCGTGAATGTTATCACTAGCCTTACTGGCTTCATTGTTATCTTTTCTACTGTAAAGTGGGGTTTGTAGTGGTAGATGGTTTGAGGGGATGGGGGGGATGGATGGTGGAAAGAAATGTTTGAGAATATCTCCATTATTTTACCAGTTCTGAGTGCTTTTCCTGACTTCTTTGTATTATTAGAGACTTTACGTTTTTGGCCTCTTTTGGTCTTTTGGCAGATCATCACAAATCTTACTGTTAGATCTGAGTCAGTCTCTTCAATGCCCTGTAATTAAATAGTAGCCGCTAACTTTGCCTTCACCTTGTCTGTCCTTATTCATAGGGGATGATCTCACCTTTTTTCTTTTTCCCATCCAGAGAGAACAACATGAGTAGACTTGATATTTCAGATCCCAGGTCTTACCAGGGATACCTCTCTGTCATCATTATCTCATTTTTTTAAAAATCCAGTCATTAAACAGGTGAGATTAAGGTAGTAGACTCCCTTCCTTACTATCCACAACTATAAATCTCAAGCTCTGCTATGCCTCTTCATAACATTTCTTATTATTTCTTCCATTTTTTTTGAGAGGTAGCATTTTTAGGCACTAGTATATATATATATATATGTATATATATACATATATTTTTTTTTGACTTTGCCATTGTATCTGGCAGTGCCCAGGGATCTTGACTCTGTGCTCAGGGATCTGTCCTGGAGGTGCTCTGTGTGTGTGTGTGTGTGTGTGTGTGTGTGTGTGCACACAATACACTGTGGCTATGCTGGGGATCGAACCAGGGTTGACTTCATGCAAAGTAAACCCTTACCCCCTGCACTAGTTCTCCTGGCCAAGGCACCGATTCGTAGCAATCCCTGAGATAGATTATATAATTGAGGAGGAACTGAAGAACAGAAAATAATAGTATATTGATAGCAGATAAAAAATTACTTTGACCACCCATTTAATTCCTGTTCTTCTCGAGTCTCCATTTAGCTTAATCACTCTTTTATTTGCCAACTATTTTTTATGTGTCATTACTTGCTTTCTCTGCCAAGATACCAAATTATTCTTCTAGTCTTAATCTTTTTTTTTTTTTGGTTTGAGGAATTATGGTAGCCATGATTTTTCATTATGTAACCACAGTATTTAGCTTTTGTATGGCATATGCAGTGATGGTCAGTCTTCATATATCTAAGGGTTTGCTTTTCCATTTTTATTAATTCTGATAGGGCCCAAGCATATCCACACATATAGAGGCTGTTACCTAGCAGATTCTTTTGGGAAAGCAGCCATCTCTTCTCCATCTTCATCTTAAAAATTACTTTGTTACCTGAAAGTCCTAATATTGTGGATAAAGAAAGAGGCCTATAAGATGATAAGTCTTTTTTTTTTTTTTTTAAAGGATAGGGATTCCAACTTTGTGGTACTAATGTGAAAATGCTGGAAAAAAAATCCACTGTGAATAGTAGCTTCATATTTTTATTATCTGTTTGTCCAGTCATTCCACTTGTTCTGTAGAAATCATTTCTTCAGTTTACCCTCTGGGTACTAGCAATTTACATTTAACCTTTATTGCTATTTCAGATTTTGTTTGTAAACTACTTACCAGTGAAATATATTGATTACAAATAATTCATTTACCTGTTGTTCATATATTTAAAGTTTAATTTTCACTGTATCTACAGAATTGGACCACAGTCACCCTTACCTAATTTTACAACATTTCTGTCATCCTCCAAAGAACTTGCACACCTATTAACAGTTTCATTCAGACCTCCTTCCCGCCCCAGGAAATTACTGATTTTATTTTTGTCTTTATGGAGGTTGGGTTGAACCCAGGGACTCAAGCAAGGCAGTGTTCTGTCACTGAGCTATGTTCCTCAACCCTCACTGCTTTTTTTGTCTCTACCTATAATTTCATGTAGCCTATGATTTCATTCACACAGTATGTGATTTTTGATGACATATCATGTGTTCAAGATTTGTCCATGTGGTAGCTTGTATTGGCACCTCATTTCTAATTGCTAAATAGAATTGCATTTGTATGTATATATTACATTTTACTCACTCTTCACTTGATGGACATTTGGAATGTTTCCATTTTGTGACTTATGAAACAGTGCTTCTATAAACATTTGTATCCACTTTTTGTGCAGAGGTATTCATGCTCTTTTTGT